TATATATCTAATTTACTTCAATGATCATGAATTGGGCATGGAGTGTAAAAGGTAAAAGTTGTTCATTTATAATTGGCACTTAGCATTCTCCTTCCATCTTTTGTTCCTACTTCCTACCACATTTCATCTCTGCGCTACAACTTGAGAATAGAGACCAAAAACCTTTAAAATCAAGGCTAAAACACTATTTCTCGCAATGCAGAGACTCTTCTCCCTCAAGGGCCTCTCCAAAATCACCAGAAATCTCCCCAAACACCACCCAAATCCCTCTGAAACCTTCACCCTGCCGCCCCACCACCATCTGTTTTCTCACTTCAACACCTCTTGCTCGCGCCCACAGTCATGGACGGCCCCGAATTTGAAGAGCTATCGTGGGCTGTTTTCAAGCTCACTTCCCAAAAACCCAGTCTTGAGAAATTCCCTTTTGAAGAGTGGCCAAACCAACGGTGTTGCTGAAACGCAAAATTGGCTCCTGCGGTTTCGACTTCCTCGACGGAATTTCCGTTCCGACTTCTCGTCGTTTTCCAATCGCTATACCTGGTATTTTGCTTTCCCCCCCTTCCATTTGGTTGAATTTATATTCAAGTCTGTTTGGTTGCTGAGATACTGAGGAAGGTAAAGATTGAGTTTTTAATTTGAATGTGATCATTTGATTTTGTTTTCTTTATATTCCTGCAATTTTTTTTGCTAACCCAATTTTTTTTTTTTTCTTGAGTTCGAATAAATTGAACTGGATGGACTGATGGAGAATTGTATTGCATTATGATTTCTTTTAAAATTGGGTGTTTTTAGTTTATTTGATGAGTGTTTCAAAAGAAAGCCACTGCATAAATTACAGCTGTTGTGCTTTGGTTCAATAGACTGTACCTTTGGTTCCATTTGGTGATATGAGACATGACCTTTCTCATTTATTGCATTAAAGGTTCTGCATTCTTAACCAAAAGAAGTGATACTTTTCTGTTAAGGCCACACAAGGCATCTTTGACAAGAAAAGAAGCACAGGCTGCTACCATTTTGGACTATAGTAAACTAATCTCGTTCTATACATTTCTCAAGTTTGGAGTTCATTAATCTTTTTTATGTTTGTCTTTTTTTGGAAATAAAATAAAAGAGAATTCATTAATCAATTCAAATCAAGCCTCAAGCTTTTTGTGTTTCTCATTGACAGCTTAGATTGTTGGGCTAATGCTAAAAGCCATAATCTTAGATTTTCATCTTTGTTTTTAGATTTTGGTACTGTTTAAAAGTGAGAAATGAATAAATGGCACCTGACATCTGTCCTTAAGTGAGTTATATGCATCATGAGAATTAAAAGTAACAAAGGAATAGAAGTTTCACTTTAGAAATTAGGTTCTCATGGATAAAATATTTTAATTTGGAGGATGTTTTATTCTTTTAGCCATCAAAGAATCTTATTTAGGACTTAGGAGTAATCATTGACTGAGAGTTAGAACAATCTGCCTTCTTTTCCAGTTACCACTAAACAACACTCTTTTTCCATGTGTAGGAGATCATGGTTTCAAGCTCTAACACCTGATGGAGTTGTGATAGGTTTGATTCTGTCTAATGTGGCTGTTTTTCTATTATGGAGGGTTGCTGATACTGGATTCATGTTGAGGAACTTCACTGTGAGTTGTTATACTTTGCCTACTTGAGTGGGTGGGAACTAAGGCAAAGCTAGTTATGTGCAATACACTTTGAATTTATTCTTTGTTTCTCAGATTTCAGTCGACAATTTTTCAAGTGGACGGCTGCACACGTTGGTAACCTCTGCATTCAGCCAAGCTGATCAGTGGCACCTTATCTCTAACATGGTTGGACTCTACTTTTTTGGGTCAAGCGTAAGTGCAAATCTTGAAAGTATTATGGCTTTGGCATTCAGTTCCTATCTTGTTGTAAACTTACGTAGTTAGAATTAACTCCTTTTAGGGTCCGTTTGGAAAGCAGGAAAATGACTTCAAAGCATTTTCCTTTCCAGTGTTTGGTTGCATTCTAGAAAACTGTCTTGGTGTGTTTAGTTTATTTTCTGGAAAATGAGCATAATTATTTTTAATTTTAAATATCTATAATATACAATGATGGTGGTGGTGGTGGTGAGGGTGGTGGGTGGTGGGTGGTGGTGGGGATGGCGGGTGATTGGCTGCTCCACTGCTGCAAACGGAAAATGACTTCCCCCCCAAAAAAGGGTAATTTGTACTCATGTCCCTTACCATCACCTTTGTTCTCTTGTGAGGTTCACGCTGTTAAGATAATCACATAACTGACTTGGAAATGGAAACTGTACATAGTTGTTCGGTCAGTTTTAAGTCATATACATAATATTTCTTTTAGTAAATGGTTATATGGGTTGAGAGCGTTATTTGTCTTTGAGTCACTACTTACTGGATTAATGGTTATCTCCTTCGGTAAACTAATTATTTGTCATTCCACTTCACTGCAGATAGGAAGAACTTTTGGCTCTGAATATGTTTTGAAGTTGTATCTATCTGGGGCAGTTCTTGGCTCAGTCTTTTTCTTAGTCTATCACGCCTTTATAGCTCCATCAATTCAGGTAGTGCTTTTATTTTGTTAGAATTCTTGAGACCAGAATTCCCTGCATGAATGGGTGTGTTTGGAAACCTGGAAAATGACTTATGGAAAATGTTTTCTGGAAAATGAGTCATTTTCCAGAAAACATTTTCCTTTCCAGTATTTGGATGCATTTCAAAAATCATTTTCCGGGTTTCCAAACACAACCTAAGTAGGAAAAGAAGTTCCCTTACCGCTAAACCTTTCAAAGTTAAGTGCTTACAGTTTCTTGTGTTTCATAGGCACAAAGGAGCCGAATACCAACATTGGATTCTTCAAGAGTACCCGGAATGGTATATTCACGTTCTTTTTCTTGATACTTTCAGGTTTTCGGGATCCTCCTTGTGCCATAACAAAGCATATGTGAAAAGTTTATTATTTGTCTCACTTAACTCAATTCTGCTAACCCTTTCAGGGAGCAAGTGGGGCGGTGAATGCGATTATGCTGCTTGATATATTCCTCTTCCCCAAAAAAACCTTATATTTTGACTTCATAATACCAGTTCCCGCAATCTTATTGGTGGGTATTTATCGTTCCGCTAATTTCTAAAGGAACAATGATTGCCAGTGATTCAATAGCACATAATCATTGGTTCTGTTTCTTATTTTTCCAGGGAATTTTTCTTATTGGAAAGGATGTGCTAAGAATATTGGAGGTACGATCTTCTTGCACTCGATTTCTCTCCATGCTGTACTAATGGAGTGATTATTATTAACGAGTAATCACACAATTTCGTTGGTTATATTCCAGAGAAAAGACGATATGATCAACTTTTTATCACTAGACTATTCGATAAACTGCTTCAATCATGTCTAGAGAACCCTTTTCTTGCTTATTTGCGTGTTTTAAGACCAGCCTTCTGTCAGAGTTTTTTGTGATTGAGTGAGATAATGGAGGATGAGGTGGATGCTGGGGCCCACAAAAAACTGAGAAATAACTCCAACTGATAAAGATGCTCTTAACATCGTATTTACTTTCTCCGGTTGCTGCAGGGCGATCACCGTGTCTCTGGATCTGCTCACCTGGGAGGGGCTTTCGCAGCTGCTATAGCGTGGGCCCGAATCAGACGGGGTCGATTCAGATTTTAGTTCCATGGGATAGTATACAGATCCTGCAGAAATTTCAGTGTTTTAGACAGGATGCATTTGAATGTAATGTAGATTTCTGGTTCTATTTTCCACTCATCTTTCACAGATTATTTGACATTCAGAAATGTTGGATACTCTTCATGGATTAGTTAAATTAGCCTTTTTTCAAGAAGATTTTTGATATTATATTTAAAGTATATATATTATACATGAATTATAACCTATGATCATAAACAACAATAATGATATACTTTTGAGAAGGGGGGAAAAGTTAGGCATAATGTAGCAATCAAGCATAGTAGATAGAGAGCAATGTTTCTTAGAACATAGGGATAAGATAGCAGAGGATCTGCATAGGTAATAATCGATTGTTGTTTTTCACATTAAAGTTCATTTATGTACCCCCACATGGTGGTTTCTTCCACTTTATGCATGTGCATTTTCCCCATTTCAACATCATCTTTCTAAGCTAGGATAGGTGAACCTTGAATTCACCATCACATGATGTTTGCTTTGCTAGCTACCCCATACCTTAACTGTTAAAAATATCGTAATATTCAGGGTAATCTTAACTGTTAATTGAACTATTGATTTGATAATCACAAGATTTCAAATTTGAGTTTTAGTGAGAGCAGTTTATTAGCCTTCTTGATTTGAGCTAGTCAGTTATGTGTAACTTCAGCTGGTTTACCTCTTTATAGTCCAATGCCAGCTAAGGTCACAAGGTGGAGTTTACTTATTATATAATCTTGGGCCTCAAGTAGTAAGTGATCAAAGAATTATTATATAAACTTCACTAATTATTACGTTTTGATTAAGTGATATAGTCTCACTTAACCATCTCTTCAATGTCTACATCAACAATGACATTATATTGAACAAATCCTCTTTGCTTAGCCAGCTACATGCTGTCATGCACTTCCTTAACCCCACATCCCTTGGCTTGGTTTGTTTCCATTCCTCTCAAATTGTTGATGTTAAGTTTAACTTTGATTTAGAAGAAAATCAGCAGTCACTATCTAAATGTGTATTTCGAGTGAAAACTTTATCCAGTAAAGAATCACAAATTAGATAAATCAGCATAAGTTGTTCATAATTACCAGTTCAAACCAATAATACCAATAGGTAGCTCCCACATAAATTAAACGTGAAACGTTGTAATTACCAAGTCAATTATCCAACTAACTTATTTGACGATTGCTCTAATGTTAAACTTAATCTAGTCTAGATGCTCTGTTCGGGCGGGGTGTGGGGCCTTAGATACCATTACACCGTTGGGGCCAATAAATGGCAAAACGTTGGAGTTGGATATAAAAGTTATGGAGTACCGGTGTACTTGAGAATAACGGGGTGACATGATTGGGTTTAGAATTGGACCAAAAACATCATCCATATTCCATGCCAAACTCTATCATCCTCTTATTCTGCTTCAAAGGTGGAGTCAAAGGTTAGCCCTCGGACCCAGAAACCCCAAATTCTCTGAATACCTTAGCCACAATCCTGACAGCTCCACATGGTGAGGGCATGCAGACATATTTAGACCCACCCCTACCATCATTACACATGGAAGTCTGCTGGAATATCTGCCCCCTCACATCCCTCTCCTGCATTTCCCTCTTCACAATTATGGAGGATTATAATACAATGCTTCTATTCTAGTGTAATTTCAACCACATTTGATTGGTGCTCCCCTTTGTTAAGTTTATCTTCCTGGGTAGATGCTATTTCTCTGGCATTTTCATGCATTGACATTCAACACATTGGAAGCTGAAGCCTTAAGGTACTGGTTTTTTACTGTTTAAACTTAGCTTTATTTTTGTTGTCTTGGAAAAAGATTTGATTTTTGCTAACTGGGTATCACATATACATGTAAAAATGCTAGTTTTGTGAAGTTTTCTTGTTGTTTGGTAAAAAGATTTGATTTTTGTTGACTGGGTGTCACATTTACTTGTGAAAAATGTAAATTTTGGGAAGTTTCTTGAAGAATATTGAAGAAGGGAACTTGTATTGTAGGGGATACAGGTATCCAAGACTTGAATTCTGTCTGAAGGGAGTGTCTTAGATGCTTATAAGTTATAACCTAATTAGATTTGGACTCTGGTTAGCTGGAAGTGCTGGTATTTTGGGGAAATTTTGAATCTTTGATTGAAACCTGAGGCCAAGATTGTCTGGATTTATGTTGTTGAAGATGGTTGGTTCATTTGTGACATCAATTTTTAAAGGGTTCTGATCATCTGGCTTTGTGGGTGGGGACTGGAAAAGTCTTCAAATTGGCTTTTGGTTTTGGTAGCATTTGATTGGAAAGTACTTGGTATCAGTAATGCCCTTTAGGCTTTAGATTCCCATTTTGAACACAAAACATATTGCTGTATCTAGAGATTGCATCTTGAAGTGTTCAAAGACATTGGACATGATCTTGTGGAGATGAATTCTGTTAACGAAGGGCATTCGAGTTTCAAGTTTCTGTGAAGTTTTGATCTTGTTGCTGAAGAAACATGGCAGCGAGGCTTTTGCATTCTTTGGCTGATGAAAATCCAGATTTGCAAAAGCAGATTGGCTGTATGAAGGGAATCCTTCAACTCTTTGATCGTCAACATATACGTATAGCTGGCCACAGCCCCGAAGGGCTCACTCCAGGCAAGGATTCCTAGTACTTTTTACTTGAGTTCTTGTATCATTTGTAGTCGAGTTCTTGTTTTGTGAATCCAAACATTCTTTTCTAGAGGTCTTGCATTGCGATTAAGCATATGTGAATCTTTGCAGGTAGTTTGCACTTCAGTGATGACACTTCTGAACAAAATTTATGCAGCATGTACCAAAGATCAGCTGCAGTAGTAAGGAGTTTCGGTCATTTTTCTGTAACAACTTTCTCAATTCGTCTTTTTTAGTTAGCGTTTGTTCGTTTTGGTTGCAGGAAAAACAAAAATTCTCTAAAGAATCTTCAACATACTCGTTCTCTTCATTGCAGTCGTCTTCTGTCTCCTCTGTTGATTGCAGAAAACCAGCTCAACGAGAGCAAAGAGCGATTTTTCCTGAAACTCCTTCAAGAGATCCAGTGATGAACCAACTAAAAGCATCCCAGCAATTTGGTCGGGAGGTTCTTGACATTAGGGATGTGGTTAAGGACTCGATGAACAGAGAGGGTCAAGGATTATCGATCAAACCCAAAGTTAGAGAGGAAGTAGTGGAATCTATTCTGAAACACACAGCTTTTGATGGGGATTATGAGACAGATGTTAAAGATTCTCTTCGAGTTCTTGCTAAGCTTCGAGAAGCCTCATGGTATAGCAGTGAACCTCGAGAGCCTTCAAGATCATCATCGTATCATTCAAAAGATTCTAGGGAAGCATCCCATCTATCCTTTGAATCACTGAATATTCCCAAATCCAACTTTTCTTCGAAACCTTCCCACCAAGATACCAATGCTAGGTCTGCTAGGCCTCCAAGTGTTGTGGCAAAGCTAATGGGCCTGGAAACACTGCCAGATTCCATGTCACTGAGTGAGACTAAAATGTGTTCAAACAAAACTTGTTCTTTGTTATCTAATCCCACGAGGAGCCCTTCGAAGGAACCAACTTCGAATCATTGGAACCCCGACTTAGTTATGAAGCCTATCTCCAGATTTCCGATTGAACCAGCTCCCTGGAGGAAGTTTGACGGGACTCAAGTTTCCAAGAAACCAGCAGCTAGGAACTCCCAGAGTTTAAACAAGCCTCTAAGCTCGTTTCCTTCTGCTTATAGCGAGATAGAGAAGAGATTTATGGATCTTGAATTCACTGAATCAGGCAATGACCTCAGAGCTCTAAAGCAGATACTGGAAACAATGCAGAGAAAGGGGCTCCTTGCTGCCCAGAAAGATTGTCAGGACTCTAATTTTACGTCTCAAAGTGCAAACCAGCGAACGAGGGGATCCAATTCATTAAGGCACTTCGAGTCCTCGATTGTTATCATGAAGCCCGCAAAGCTATTGGGAAAATCGGGTACACCATCTTCTTCTGTGATTCCTCTGGACGACTTATCCAATATCCCTAAACTTCAAGGTAATGAGGGCTTCCGTGGTAGAAATGGGGCAGCTACTACTCGTGTAACAGTCAAGGATCAAAACCTTAAAACTAGTAAAAGAGTCAATACGATTAGTTCCACTAAAACCAATAATAGAACTCCAATATCTCCTCAAGTTTCAGTTAGGTCCAAGGAGAACAATTCGGGCTCATTAAAGACCCCGGGATTCATCAGCCCCAGATTGCAACAGAAGAAACTCGAGCTGGAGAAACGGTCTCGGCCACCCACACCTTCATCTGATTCGAAAATATCAAGAAGACAAGCAAACAAGCAACAAATGAAGTCTAGTCCCCCCGGTGGAAAGCATGGACAAAAGAGTTCCAATATCCCGCAAAATGAAGAAGTCACTAGTACTTTACAGTCTTTCGAGAAAAGCAGCCCCTTGGCAAAGACTGTTGGTCTATTGGAAAATGAATTATTGGGCGAACCTGCTATCCTTGCCCCTGAATATCCCAGTCCCGTTTCAGTTCTTGACAATGTTGGGTACACAGATGAATCACCCTCCCCGGTCAAGCATATTTCAGAAGCTCTGGAAGGTACTGCTTTTCTCTCGAGTTTTTCTGTGCATGTTTGTGTCTATTTTCCTTAAATTTTTTACTTAAAGTGGACTATAGTAGATCGTCTGATAGTCCATCATTTACTTAACAGAGGACAGATCAGAGTATAATGCTGCATCAAGCACATTTGGTTATCCCGTCACTCTGGAGATTAATAGAAAGAAACTAAAGAAGATTGAAAATCTTGTTCAGAAACTCAGAAGGTTGAACTCTAGTCATGATGAAATCCACACGGATTATATTGCTTCGATCTGTGAGAGCACAGACCCGGATCATAGATATGTTGCTGAAATTTTATTAGCTTCCGGCCTTCTCCTTGGAGACCTTGGTTCAAGCACAACAACGTATCAGTTCCATTCATCTGGCTACCCGATCAATCCCGAGTTGTTTTCTGTTCTGGAACAAACCAAGGAAAGCACTTTAGGCAAGGAAGAATGCGCCAAAGAAAACAGCAACAAGGCCAAGGAGAAGATCCATAGGAAGCTCATCTTTGATTTTGTCAATGAACTCCTTGCTGCAAAATTGGCTTTAGTAGGACCCTTTTCTGAGCCATGGCTAAGGCCACGGGTGGCAGCCATGAAAGCCCCGAATTCACAAAAGCTTCTGAGAGAGTTATGTGCAGAAATAGAACAGCTCCAGACTAAACCATCCAGATGCTCCTTGGACCAAGATGAAGATGATGAGCCAGAAAGTTGGTCAGATTTCGCGGCTGAAACTTCAAACATTGTTCTTTCTTTAGAGCGATTAGTCTTTAAAGATTTAGTTGATGAGATAGTAAGGGGTGATGGTAACAGTTTGAGAACCAAGCCAACCAGACAGAAGCAACTCTTCAAAAAATAGCTTGTTTCTAATTGCTTATTATTCCATTTTCTTGTATCTTTCTTTTTCATTACCTTTCTGGCTTTTGCTAAGAGTACAACATTCATGAATTCATATTGTAGTTCTTGGATGGAAAGTAAAGGGGAAACCCCCTTGATTGTATTATATTACGATTATATACTGATGCCTGATGATAATGATGCCAATTTATCTAAAAAGTAACCAACATTTAGACTTTTTTTTTTGTATAACGAGAGAAATCAGTAGCCATTATCTGAGGATGTGTGTCGGGTAAACCTGCCTTGTAACTCTAATCGACAAAAAATCACAAAGCCAGAAGGTAAACTAACCTATTTATCTTATCCAAAGTACATTCTTTCAAGGATTTATATGAGAAACCCCACACCCCAAGAGCTCTCTTTTATCTTATCCATCAAGAAGGAATATGGCATTACAATCTTTATCACAAAAGCTCCTTCAACCACTCCACATTTCCCCAACCTTCACAAAACCCTCCACCATTCCAGCAAGAAGAAAAAACCATATAGTCTCCTCCCACCATATCAAAACTAGAAGAGCCATATCCCTAACCATAGTAGCATCCACCCCACTTCTCTTTCTTCTGTCAAGAAGAGAAGCCATTGCAGGGTTTGACCTTAGACTGACAGAGCCAGAACAGACTGTTGAAGAAGCCCTGTCCGCCATTGAAGACCATGCAAAAAGCTTGTTACAAGTGAAGAAATTGCTGGAGGAAGATGAGTCCTCATGGAGAGAAGCTCAGAGGGAATTGAGAAACAGATCAGCTCTGCTGAAACAAGACATTTACACAATCATTCAGGGTAAGCCAGGGAGTGAGAGGCCTCTGCTCAGGAAGATGTACTCCACCCTGTTCAATAGTGTCAGCAGGTTGGATTATGCAGCTAGGGATAAGGATGTGACACGTGTCTGGGAATCTTATGATAACATTGTTATGGCCCTTGATCATATTTTACGCAAATTATTACCTTCAAAATCATAAATCACACATTTTTGCACCTAGTCTTCAATTTATTTCCCTTTTATAATTATTGTAATAGAATACTAATTCTTTTGACTTCTCGACTTAACTAGAGGTCTCGGGTTCAAGTCCACGAGCCGAAAATGTTGAATTTAGCCATACATGAGTTGGCTTCTACTGAAAGCTGCAAATAGAGATGATATATTGATATCAATAATTCAATCTCAACTTGAAAAAAATAAAAAATAAACTAAAAAGGAAAAGATAATGCATATGTGGTTTATGTATTGATATACTTAAATCTTAAAATATCCGAAAAAAATCTTATCTTTGAATGACTTTGAGTCTCCCAAGATCAGGAGTTTGTTATTTACTGACCTGTGACGCCGGTGATAGTTAGATTTATATAGTACTAAACAAATTTGAAATAAAGAATATTCCTGGAACTACATGGGATCCGCAGCTACTAAAGCGGGAACACAACTGCATATTTCACTGTGATTCTCTTCTCCTTCATTAATTAAAAAGGAGAGGAAAAGGCCTTCACTACAACAGAAAGGTTCAATCTTTATGGCGGCGTTTCAGAGTGAGCTTTCATACCCACATCACAATTCTAAATTATTTTTCTTCTTTTTATTGTATTAATTAATTTTGTTTCTGAATCACTTGCATTTCGGTGAAATTCTTAAGGTTTTGGTGATAAGTGTTTGATAATTAGATGTTTGTTTTCAGCTGAGTTTTACTGTGTATTGATCCCTCTATGCATACTCAATTGGATGGCTCTTTTCAGTTGATAGCAGAACACTTTTGCTTGTTTTCTGGAATGGGAATGAATGTTCTTGAGCATAAAGATTAAAGAATGCATTTATTTTGGATAAAAGACTGCATTGTTGATTTCTGTCCTGGTTTTGATATAAGAATGTCTTTTATGTTGTTGGTAAAAGTACAAGAATGTTGTTGTGATCATAGTGCCAAATCATCATTTTTTTAAGGATGTGAAAACCTGTAGTCACTGTTCGAGGGTGTGTACTGGCCCACTTTGTGACCTTAGATGACAAAGAATCTTTAAGGAGGTAAACTAGCTTAGGTGGTTGCGTAATTATCTAACCAACTTGATTGGGGTTGCTTTAAAAAAAACATCATGGTGTGCACTGGCCCACTTTGTGACCTTAGATGGCAAAGAATCTTTTAAGGAGGTAAACCAGCCTAGGTGGCTGCGTAACTATCTAACCAACTTGGTTGGGTTGCTCCCAAAAAACATCATATTCACATGAAACAACATAGTTTCCAATGCTATCTTTGATGTGATCAAACTGTAAAAACATCATATGCACATTAAGCATGTGTCTTCTGGTGTTTTAATGAAGCTAAAGTGTTTTAGTATACTTTTGTATATACTTGTGCTTAGATTTACAAGAAATACTGAAAATAATGTATTGTATGTAATTTTTATATTAGAATGACATAGTTTCTTGTTCTCATTGCATATGGCAGGTCTTGCCCGCTTTGTTCTTCTGTTACTATTTGTTGGGTGCTCTGCCAGGCCTCTCTACCCACTTCCTAGCAGGAGAAACGACCGAAATAAACATCCTTTACAAACCTTTCGCCCATATAACATTGCTCATCGGGGTTCAAATGGAGAAATTCCTGAAGAAACTGCTGCTGCATACATGGTAAAAACTAAAAAGCAATAGAATTTTAGCTAATTCAAAGGAACTGTTAGTTGTTCATCTATTCTGTGTCCCTGAAACTTAAGTCTCTTGCAGAGGGCTATCGAAGAAGGTGCTGACTTCATTGAAACAGATATTTTAGCAACAAAAGACGGTGTTCTAATATGCCATCACGACGTGAAACTCGATGACACAACTGATATTGCCAAGCATAAGGAGTTTGCAGATCGAAAGAGGAGCTATGAGGTTCAGGGGGTGAACATGACAGGCTATTTCACTGGTATTTATTGAATCTACACTTTATAATCTTGAAAGCTGCAACCTTTATAGGAATTTCATCATATGCAGTTGATTTCACACTGAAGGAATTGCAGACCCTCGGGACAATACAAAGATATTCGTTCCGAGATCAACAATATAATGGTTAGTACTATACACTTCTACCATTCCCTTCCCTGTTAACTCGAGCATGAAAGATGGTTATTCTTGTATGCTGCTATAATTCTTTCCCTATATCCTCGAATACCATGCAGGACAGTTTCCTATCATTACTTTCGAGGAGTACCTCTCGATTGCACTTGATGCCCCTAGAGTTGTTGGAATATACCCAGAAATTAAAAACCCGGTTTTTGTTAATCAACATGTGAGTTCTTCATTCCTTCTTGCTGCATTTAATGTATAAGAAAAATGGGTTTTGGAAGAAAATGCATAATTTGCAGGCAAACTAACCTTAGAGCTTTCCGACAGGTTAAATGGCCAGGTGGTAAGAAGTTTGAAGACAAGTTTGTTGAGACGCTGAGAAAGTATGGATACGAAGGTTCTTATATGTCGAAACAATGGCTGAAACAGCCTGCATTCATTCAGTCTTTCGCCCCGACATCTCTTATTTATATATCTAATATAACTGACCTGCCTAAGGTCTTTCTGATTGATGATGTCACAATATTAACAGAAGACACAAATCAGGTATAGAACTATAGATACAGAAACTTTATTCACTCGTCTTTGGAACTCTCATGTAGAGCTGAAGTTTAACCCTTTTGATAAATATGTATAATGCCAGACATATTCAGAAATCACTTCAGACAAATACCTTAACTTCATCAAGGACTATGTGGTCGGGATTGGGCCATGGAAGGATACCGTAGTTTCTGTGTCGAACAACTACCTCCAGCCGCCTACTGATCTTGTTGCCCGAGCACATGCCCTTAACCTGCAGGTATCCCAACTTTCTTTATGTTAAAAGTGCTAAAATTTGAGGTATGAACCTTAATTTACATTGCAACCCAGGTTCACCCATACACGTTTCGAAATGAGCACAAATTCTTGCACTTCAACTTCAGCCAAGATCCATACAAAGAGTTCGATTTCTGGATAAACCAGATTGGCGTGGATGGACTGTTCACGGACTTCCCAGGCAGTGTTCGCCAGTTTCAGGAGTGGACTAACCCACTGTCAGTAGGAGATAAGGGAGCATCTGGACTACTAGATAGAATTGCCTCAATGATCTTAAAGTCCAAACACACATAAGACTTAGGACTTCGAATTGCAGTTCTTGAACAATTACAGTTTTAAAGAATCTGCCTTTTTTCCAGTTTTATTTAGCATTGTTTAATGGATAGGAATAGGATTGGACTGCAAAATGCAAATCTAACAGATCTGATCAGCAAAGGAACCAATAATCTAGATTTAGTGAAAGAAAATACTCTGATTGTTTTAATTTACAAAAGCCAGTTATACACAGATGTTCATCTTAGCCATTTCTTCCAGAAAGTATCTGGATTCAGCTGCAAAATCAACTGGAGCCGCCGCTCTGACTGTTATCCTTTGCCTCTTTTCGTTATTGTACTCTTGAGGGGTAACGCTGACCCGGAAAAGATAAGGAACCCATGTTGCTTCCTTCAATTTCATTTGGTAAGCACTACTATCTCCATCCTAGCCAAAAAAAATGACAGAAATTTCATTAGCAATTGCAGAATATACTAGCCTTAGGGTGTTTTGGTCAAGAATGCAATTTGTTTACCTGAGATCTCAGCCTGTCAAGCTCATCTGCAGAGCATCCAATTATTTTTTCTGCTTGTTCATTGAAGACAGAGAGCCAAGCCTCGCCACTTGTATCAGACACCCTCATGGCAACTATATATCTGGTGTTTGGAACACACAGGGTAAAGTTAGAGTTTTGAAAACATGTATGGCAAGAGATCGGTTTATCAATTTAGAAGTTAGAAACCTCAAGCTACAATCTGTGTCATTCTTCTGGCAACCTTCACACCAGTACCCAGATCCAATGGCCTCAGTCACTTTCTTGTTACACGTTTTACACGCTCTATACCACATCGCTTGTTCAGGTTTAATGAAGCTAATATTTGCCTTTATACTGAAAAACACAGGCTGCAAGCAAAGTGGTTCCAATTTAGAGGAATAATAATAAACAAGAGTCTCAGGAAATCATACTAGGTTATGTCCCAAAGATTTGGGAGGATACCTTGTCCTCACCCAGGTTTGGGTTACTGGTTATATGAAGTAGGGATACTCTATCCGAGTACATGGACCACAATACGCCTTTGGCAGAGGAGCTCAAACCAGAGCCAACCGAAGTCAATGAGGTTTCTTTCCCTTCACAATCATACCTGCAAAAAATAAAGATGAACAGACTTGCAAAAAGAAGTAGAAATTAAGACATCTTATGGAGAATATCTATACCAAGATCTCAATTTCTTGGCTTCAGGCATATCCGGGTTCACCAGTACAGTACTTCTAGTAATTGCAGATAAAGATAAACCTGTAACAAGAAGTTTTAGAGCATTATCAAAAAAAGGTTTGATTTTTAGACTGGCAACTTGGCAAGCCATGAATCACGAGAAATAAACTACCTTGGAAATCTCCAACTTTAACTGATCTGATTGCAACTACTGGAGATTTATCAGCCATATCTAGAAGCTCTTGACCTACATTGGTGGCTAGATCACTCCAAAGAGACACCACAACAGTCTTTTTCCTGAAAGGTTATGTCACATGTTCCCGGGTCAATATTGCAAAGGAAGCAAGAATTAAAACCGAAAGTGTTAAAAAGGAATCATACGTTTCATCTGCAATGGTTATGTCACGCTTTGGAATCATCTCATTGTTACTCTTCCTCCTGATACTCATTGTAGAAGATACATTTTGAACCACGCCAATAACATCTACAAGACACCACAGTAAAGCATGTTCATAAAAAAGGAGCGAGAGGAATGAGTGGAAACAAAATTGATGGAAAAGGCAAAATCTTCTCACCAACTAGCTCCCGACCATTTACATATGAACCCAGTTCATCAATTGCAACAAAATTGAATTTTGTTTCAGGAACAAAAGCAGCTTCATTTATAGCCTCTTCTACCTCAGAGTTCTCATTCAGGGTCATTTCGTAATCATTTTGCACTGTCTTGAACTGCTTGTTAGCAACTCTCAAAGTTCCCTTTGAAATGTAATAAACCTTCCCCAATTCAAACTTGTCATAAAACTTCCTCGCAGCCTGGTTGAACATTGTGGCCTGTATTTCTGTGCCCTGTATGTAACCAGGCTGATTAGTTTATTACACAGCTACTAATAAAATACTAAATTCAATAAGACCTTTAAGATTACTAGAATGTCACTTACATCCTGATCTGCTAATTCAACATTGAAGACACAGCCTTCTCCCCTAGCATTCTTGTAAAACCGCATGTTTCCTTTGCTAGTTACACGAACCTTTATGGTCCAGATTCCTTGATAAGGATTCAAGGAAACAAGTGGATGAATTCTCCGGGTCATTGCCAGTCTGGCAGGTGGCACAATGCTGGTATCAATCAACATCAACAACATTAGAACATGTTATAAGCAAAGTAGCAAAATCCTAACCTACCTAATGCAAAACTTTAAAAAAATTAGAATTATAATCTTTCTAAAAGTCACAATCACGAGGAAAACAAAGATAAGAAAACCTACTTTCCATTCTGTTCATGTACAATTTGAGCAGCTGATTTGGCTACAAATTCTTGCTTTGGCCTCAATACTATCCCATTCTCTTCAGTTTTCACACCTGTCTTGTACTCTGCCTCAAGCGGAGAAGATACAGCATCACATTTTGTCACAATCAGGTACCTAAAAACGAAATTAACTCAATAAGCAAATTCTAAGCCTTCAAAAATAAACACAAAATAACTTTTCGTAACATAAGTTTCAAAGATTCTAACTTTTCATTCTTCATTGGGATGTCATTAAGAGTATAATCAAGAATCCGAACTAGACCCAGATTCTGAATAGAACCAGAGATGACTTCAGATGATAAGCTGGATTGTAGAATTGCCTTAAGCTTCATCTTCCCATCATTAGCTGTGAACCTACAAGTAATCAAAGATTTTCTTATAATTTAACCATAGCCACTACATTTTGCAAATCTAACAACTTTGAACTCATTCTTTGTATAATCTTCAAAGCACAGATTCACATAGCATGTTGAAGAGTGTGCTCAACAAAGATTTCGTTTCTACATTCGTGCCTACTCAGGAAAACAAAACCAACAATAAAACAAACCTATGGGTCTGACTGAACATGTTGAAATAAGCAAAAATCACATTTTTGGATAAATAAACTTATCAGAGTGAAGCTCAACGCGAGAGAAAATCATACAATAAAGAAACTCACATGTATCGGTTCCCAGCTTGTTTGAGATCTACTACTTGAACAATTAACTCCGGGAGGTCCGACCCAGAATCCGGCGACGGGTTTGCTAGTATGGCCGATATCGCATCTGGAGTCACCGATCTTTCCATCTCTTCTTGATTTTTTTAGAACCCTCAATGCCGAAAACTCGAGCAATGTCAAGTGTGAAGACTCTGAGGGGAAGAACCAGAGAGAATATCTCAAGATTGCTCTTTTTATTTTAAGGTTTTGGAGTTTGAAATGATACTGTTACGGCGGGAAATTTCGTCAGTTTTTGAGGGAAATTATTTGCAGGTGAGATTGGGCGCCAATTGGGAACTTTTGCTGCTGTGGGCTTCGCAGTTCGCACGATGTTTTGAAACTTTCTTTTTTTCCTTTGTTAATTCTTACCTATACTATCCATAGTTAAAATTGGTAAGCCCAATTAGTCTAATAATTTAAACAATAGACCCAGTGGATCAATGTTATGAAGGATCAAACTGATCATATCTAATAACCAGTTCGAGTGACCATGCACTCTTGTCCTTTAAAATAGGTCAGGAGTTCGAACCTCCTCTCGTATGTAAAAATTAATTTGACCAGCATTTTACCTCTTAATTAGGTCGGACCGGTGCAAACGAAGATTAGTTTGAATATGATACGGACTTAGATGTCTCTTACAGTTAGGACATGCTAAGGACACCACGTGGTCTGACAAAAAAAAAACTCACCATATCTAATAAGGAAATTCGTCAATTGTTATACAATGGACCGAGTTCATCTTGCATTGCGACCTTAATCCAAAAATTATATGTCTGCAGTTAATTGTTTATGTGTCTGTAAATAAACTAAAGACAAATAAACGATTAAGTGCAAGTACATAATATATTTATACATGCACGTAATTTTAAGGTTATTATGGTATTATTACTTGAAAGTTGAAAGTTGTCCCTGTTGTTTCACATTCTTAAAACTAGTAAAAATCCCAGTAAAGTGGTCTTCACCATATAATATATTCCTGCTATTCCAGATAACCAATGTACAGGATAGTATGTTTATGTTTGTCTTCTAATAATAAGGAGCACTTCTGAACCTTGTAATGTAATGTTTCACCAATTACAGAGTTTTGTGTTTAGCACTTGACACGGTAAACAAAAACCTGTTTAGGTGAACTCTCTCTACTTCCTAAGAACAGAAGTGCAACAGGAGAACCAAGAAAACCAAGTTGTTTGCGCTGGCTGTGCCTCCGCTTCTTGGTTCTCTGACTCTGACGATTTTAATGGCTCCTTCTCCTGGATTGGCTGTGTTTCTGACATTGGCCGCTGCTCTTGGCTTAATCCACAACCAATGCAATCTGGACTGTCTTTATCTCCTTGTCCTGTCAATCTTCATTTCATTCAAACTGATTAATCATGTTCTCATTCAGAGGCTATGAGGGGGGGAAAGATAAAAAGATTCTACAATGATGCAGAGAAGTTCATATTATATGCACATTCTACAGACAGAGCATGAAGTTGCATCACTCAAAGTAGGCAGGTGAATCTGTTTAATGATATGAGGTGGAAGGAACTAAACACAACTACTTACATTGGGAATGCAAATGATTTTTCACTGGCCATACTGTCTGCAGAGTCATGAGAAATGTGCACCACAGCATTGGATTTTTGGTTATTTTGATCTTCGTTTTCCCTTACGACCCCTTCCCAGGTATCATGCTTTCCTACCTCATGACCTTTTCCATCAGTTACCACTTCATTTCCCGCAAACTGGGTAGGAATGGGATTGCTTGCAGGGCTGGGCACAGAATCTACACCAGGTGAGCCTAGTTCTTCCCAAAGGAATTCATCCCTGGTAAAGCTCCTTCCTATTTGGATACTGAATAATGACTCATTGGAGGTCATGCTCCATTCTGCACGATTTGTAGGCGTATCTAGAGCAAACACAGAGGATGGAATCCTATACGGTGCATCTTTAGAACTCTCCGTTGTTGATTCCATAATGAATAAATTTCTGGAGCTTGAGCTAGGAGAATCAAGGAAACTCTTGACTGTGACTGGGAATGAACTACTACATCATTAGATGATTAATTAAAATCACAAAGCCGGGAGAAGAACTATAAGAGAATTGAAGAATTCAACTACTCATTCAAGGGACAATGAGAAGGCGTCTGCAAATTTCCACTGTTCAGATCTCATGCCGAGGTTGGTGTGGTTACTTAGCTGTACCCAATCCATTCATTTTCACTTGGTAAAACCTTACATTAACTGGCACCTTTGATAAAATGAAGAAATATACAACATTAGTATGCTAAAGTATAATTCCATTATGCAGTCTTATTCAGATATGCATAATCTCAGCCTCAAGAAAAAGCCACATTTAGCTTCTATCATTGCCAGAATGAGCAGTATTACCAATCATAATCTAGGCATCTTAGCATAATTTACATTCACATTACAACAAGAACTATCATAGGATCGTTTGATTATTTAATTAAGCAAACATAAACGAGCTTAAACTGAGCATATCGATGAACATTTGATATTTTGGTAGCACAGAAATGTCATTTAGTTTAAATAGCTTATAAATTTTATGCTTCTACTTAATCACCATAGTTCTGTTGACATATCACACAGGAAATTATTGCTTTACAGAAATGGATTCCATAATCAATTGGGCACAAAGCTCAACCTAAATTTTGATAGAGAAATAGCAAATCTTCAATTATAAAGGAGAAAAAGCATCGGACCTAGAAGAAAGGAAAATGAAAGAGTCGCATACCGAAGAATGATTGTGGAAAGGAGCGAAGAGAACCGGGCAGCCGGCACATGCAAAAATGGCGTGAAAATTCACCGGGCAAACCCTCCTCTTCGCCGGCCGCGCATTGCTCAGCGGCGATTGTCCGATGAGAGTGGTTTGGATGAAATCCAATCACGGCCACCGTGCGAAAAAACAAAATCGATAAAAAAAAATTACCAAAAGCGATCCCGGAAAGCCCGAAATACTTGCTCTGCATAACCGAAATAGGCGCGCTTTTATTTCTCTCTCCTCTTTGAAATATTGACATTTTTTTTCTCTTTTAAATCAAAATCTATTTGTACCCAACACTAAACAATTAAACATTTTAAAATAATTTTTGCACTTTTGAAACTCTAGTTATATTCGTGGTTCAGACTTAATTTATGAATTTTATGTGTAATCATCTTTAACACGTAAATCAGGAATAAAGTGACAATTTTTGTCTATGAGCGATCAAATAAACCATCTTATTAAGTGACAGAAATAGTGTCAAAGGACTAAAATTATCATTTTGTGCATAACTTGAGGGTTAAAGATGGTCGTGCATATAACTCAATGACTAAGTTTGTACTACAAACTGAAAGAAAACTCGCAACCACTACTCGAAGTTGTGCACGGGACAAAAAACCGCGCAAGAGATGGAAACCGCAATAGAAAGACTCAGTATGACAAGTTAAACTTCTATACCTTTTTCTTTTCTGTGTTCATTTTCTGGTTTAGCTAATGTCAATGTTCATTGTTCATCAAGGTAAAACAATGCTTTCTGAGCACTAAAAACTGCAGGATTGCCTTTCCTAACTTTCTCAACAATCTGCTCTATCAAAAGCTTTTCCACTTCATCGCGATCCTCGTTCTCATCAATCAGCGTACCATTATGAAACTGATATAGATCATGATCACGAGGCTGCACAAGTTCCTGAGAGGCTGCACAAGTTCCTGACGTTGGATCTTCCCGGCCCCTGATGCCATCTCGTCTTCTTCTGACTCAATTATTTTCGAGAGTTCATCATAACCGTCATTGTATGCATCAAGAGCCTCTCCCGCTAAATTCATGACCACACAGTCGACTTCATCTCTAGTGACCGGACTCCCTTGAGCAGAAGAAGACCCTGCCTCGCTGTTAGAGAATTCTCGGCAAGAATTAGTGAGCACTACTTCCATGTAGCGAGCCTTCCTCTGGAGATTTTCAACTTCTGTCTCGAGCTCCCTGTTGCGTTCTTCCAGCTGTGAATTAATGACCTCGTATAGCCGCAAACTTAGTTCTCTAGGTGAGACACTGTAGTTAGCAGAGTAAGGAGTGGGGTTGGTACTTTCATCCCGATCTGCATAATTTAGGGGTTCCGTTCTATCAAAGACATCATCATCCCGTAACTCCCCCTCTGCTAAATCTGGAATGAAGTCCGGGTCAAGCTGTGAAGTTTTCGATAAACTCGGTGAGTCACTTCCCAAATAGAAAAACAAAATAAGGAAAATAAAGATGGAGAAACAACTGTTCCGTTTCCTAAATAAATATCACGCCCTTTTCCAGAAACACACTGGAGAAGAGAGAACATATGAGTTTATAAGGCCATGGGTTAGACTAGCTAATTGGCTGGATTCAATCTTTGGTTTGGCCCATGTGCATTATAGCCCAATTAAGTGACCCTAGTCCAATCTTAATTTATACCAGTGGTCTCTACTTTTAGTATCAAAAGTCAGTTTTTATTTACCAAAAAATGTTCTTACCTCAACTAGTTCTGTTAATTTCCCCGCCAATTTAGTTGAAGTCATACTTTGTTCTAGTCTCTCCAGTTCTGCCTCGAGCTCTGCTTCAATTTGACTCCTAGATTCCTCCTCTTCTGTGTGCGGGCTGTGATATTCTTCAACACAATATTCTGAACTGTCGTTCAGATTCTGTTGAGGAGCAAGTGAATACAAGGCCTCATTGGTAGAAACATCAATTCGCGTATATTCTGACTCGTAGTCCTCCGTGGCAAGTTCTTTCACGGTTAATGAATCCTTCATTTCAAGTTCGTCTTGTAGATCTTGAACCAAATTATCTTTCTGCTTCAATATGTTATTCAATTCGTCTCTTTCCTTCTTATATAACAAGAAAGAAATGAAAAAGCCAACCGATGCCCCGAGAGAGAGAAGAAAGGCTTCATCAGATGACCCTGAATCACACAGAAAGTTAATCCACGAGCTAAAACCACATGAAGCACAACAAATTCACATTGTGCGAATAAGCTAATGCTATAAAGGAAATAAGAACATAATACTATGCAACCAAATTCTTGTTTAAGATGTATCAGCATCCATGGTTGAAAAAATCGCTAGGCGCTCCTCGGGCGTTTTGGCGCCTAGGCGGCCCGTGTATTTTTTTATTTTTTAAAAATTTGTTTAAAATGCTTCAAGTTTTTAAGACTTGATAATTATAAACTATTTGATACTTTAATAGTTAATACTAAAATATTAAATATTAACCTAAAAAAATCTAGAGTTTGAACAATTCAGGGTAATTTTACTCAAAACGATGTCGTTTTGAGGGAAATAACCTATTTAAAAAAGAAGATAACAATAGCTAATCGGCTGACTAGGCGGCCTAGTCGGTTCCTAGGAGGCCTAGGCGGCCTAAACCACCGATTATGGTGATACGCTAGGGGGCAGGGTCAGTGCCTAGGCGGGATTTTTGCAACACTGCCAGCATCCCCGCCCCCATACACAACTGTTGAAGCAGCACACAAAAATTAATCATTTTCTGAAGTTACTACCTTTGGACCGACGGTGTTTACTGTGTGTGCTTCTGCTGGAATTGCAACATATCCTGCCTTGATCCTTTTTACTAGCACTGGCTTTTCTCTGGACTTCCGAGGGCTCAACATTTGGTAGTTTAGGAACTCCGGATATACTTGTCTCCCCTTGTGGAATAACACTCTTTTGCAGTTTATCCAGCTCAGTTCTAACCGGCATACCAAAAGAATCACCGCTATTTCTGCTAATAATTACACTTCCATCAGTAACCAGAAATGCCCTTGGTGTTGGTTGTAAAGGAACAGAACCGAAAATATACTCCCGTTCTATTTGTTCCGAGGAAAACTGAGCCACTGGACTTTCAAGAAAAATTGAAGGATTCAAGATATGTCTAGTAGTTTTTCTACTTCTAAGACGGTGTCTCCTGCTGGGAAGACCATGAGGAAATCCCATTTGTATTGTATTAGGGTGAACCGATAAATCATCTACAACCTCATTGATGTCACCACCTACCCAAGCTCCTTCCCGGCACTCTTGAACTTTTTTGTCACACTTGGACCCAACTAAGGAATTTGAACAAGAAGACGCATTATCAGAACTATGAGGATAATCCAATATCCCCAGATTCCCGATGAATAAACCATTTGTAGAAGCCACTTCAGCCACAGTATCTTCGCGGCCCAATTCCCTTGCCCTAGACACATCTTCAGCTGAACCCTTTCTCAACATCATTCCTGGGGAAGTACAATCCTTATCCAGGGCTTGATGAATATTCGGCAATGAATTGTGTTTCGAAATTCTAGGACTCCGATGAGGAGAATCCCCAGAATTCGCTTTACCCTTCAACAGATCTTTCCAGTGCTGAGCAAAATAGACAGCACCAGCAGCAACGGCTGCAATCCAAGCATCCATTTCAATCCAACCACTAATAACCTAGGTTCCAAATTAAATGCATTCCTCTTTTGAACAATCAGAATATCTAATTAATGCCAGAGAATCTGAGTCCTTAAATTATCAATACCAACATCAGATCAATGCAGTAAAATGTCTCCAATCAGTCATAGGCAATCTTTTCTCTTAATTTTTTTTTCCTGAACACAAAATGGAACTCCTGTCAACCCTAGAAACTCCAGATAAGTAGATAACAGCAAACTCAATCGGTGAAAATAACCCAGTAACCAAACAGTAGCAATTACTATTTTACTACACTCCAAAAACTATAATAATACGAACCCATTTCCGACAAAATTCTCCATCAAAGAAACAGCATAGAATGCATTACAGCAAATTGATAAAAGACTGTTCTTGAAATTACCTAATCCGGAGCCACAATGAGCTGCAATACCGGCAAGGCGGCAATACCCACCAACTGAAATGAGCAGTTCTCACCAGAAACCTTTGCCAACCAAGCCGCAGATTTGATGTATGAATGCCACCATGAACAAAGACTGGATGGCTATAACCAACAGTAAAACAAAGAAAAAAAAAAAAAGAAACGTGATATATGGATTTGGGGCTAGTGAAAACCGGAGAAAAACGCTCACCCTTTCTCAGTCACGAGTAGGTGAAGAAAAAGAGCGAATGTCATGGTGCCAGTGCGAATTCAAAGGCCCAAAGATTCCATTGTGGTGGAGTTGCAGGTGCATCTGTTGAAATTTTGCACCCAGCTTTGGAAGAAAAATAAATAAATAAAAAATCTATCTTTCGAGGCTGTTTAGCACTCTTGTTATCTATATGGAGCGGCGGATAATTTTAGGGGAATACAGACAAAGAAAAAACGTTTTCTCTTCTTTCTTGTGTCAACCTTGACTCACCTTGATTATATATGGAGTAAAGAAAATGTTTGACATATGAGGTTGGGCCACTTTAAATACTTTCCTAACCCAAGAGCTCTCACATCCCCAAAGTATTTAGAATGATAAAAATTACGGTGAATTTTTAGACTTTGATATCTTTTTTTAAATGTTATCTGTAATTTTTAGATTTTGATTTCTTCTTTCAAATATTATCTAAATCATTGAGTTTAATCGTATGAACTAATATAAATACTTTGATGATACGAGTGAATGATATGACACATTTTATTTATTTTTTTAATTTAATCAAATAGGTATATTAATTACGAAAACCTTAATGGAAATATTAAGAGAGGTTAAAAATGATTGATTGGATATCGTATGGTCAAGGAGTATTATTGAGAGTTGCTTGAGTTTTGACCTCCCGTTGATTTAAAAAAAAAAAAAAAAAAAAAAAAGTGTATTTATGTTTTTTTCTTTTCCAACTATTAAAAGGTGGATTATAATTGTTAATTTTGCACAAGTAAAAACATTTTAAAGAAATTTATAAGATGCCAACTCTTCAAAATATGGACTATTACTAATAATAATGTGCATTTTAAACACGCGTGAAGATTTGTGTCTAATATTAAAACCGTAATTATATTACACTTGTTAAAGAAAAAGAAAAATATTGATTAATAAAAATAATTTTAAAATATTATTTTAACCCATCCAATTTATGTGTAAAACCTCTATATTTGGAAGAAAAAAAAAAACAATTTGGTAAATACCCTAAATTAACGATTACCATATTATTTATATTTATATTATTATGGTGACATGAACTTACAGGTGGCATTTGTAATATAACGATTACCATATTATTTATATTTATATTATTTGGTAAACAATTTATTATGCCAGCCCATCGTATATTTGTTGATGCGGCCGTTTTTCAGGACTCGAGCGAAGCTAGTTTTGGAATGGTCATCCTGAATAACAATGGCTCTTATGTTGCGGCGAAATGTGGTCCTCTTCGATGCTTGAATAATGTCCATCTCGCAGAAGCTATTGCGGTCAAGGAGGCTCGATCCTGGGCTAAGGAGAGACATATGCAGCGAGTGATTATTTATTCGGATTGTCAGTTGGTATGTAACCTACTAAACGGTTCATTGCAAGATTTTTCTTTTGCAGGTTGTATTCTTAGTGAATGTCGAGAGTTAAAACGACACTTTGAAGTAGTGTCTATTCGGTATATTGCTAGGTCAATGAATAAGGCTGCTCATGCGTTGGCTAGGGCGTCTCGTTCTTTTACTGATCCCATTAGTTGGGTTTCTTTCATACCAGATTGTATTGCTCTTTTGATTTAACAAAAGTCTAGTTCGGTGGTTTTAAAAAAAAAATATAAATCAAATATGTGAGTCAATCATTTAGAAATACATTTAATATAGATGATTAATAAATTATAAATATGGTTAATTAATTAGATTTTCAATGTCATATTTAATTTGCTTCTATATAATTCTAAGTTGGACTCGTTTGTGAGAGTTGTTTATTGATATACTCGATTTGAGTCAGTCAGCTATGACAACCTAACATGATTTATCTTTTTGTAGTATTTTATCGACTAGGGTCATAAAATAAATTACTGGATTTTACCCAAAATGCACCTTGGCTGCATATTTTTCATAAATCAAACTTTTAATTTTCTTAATAAAATGTAATGTTTAATCATAAACTACAAACGAATGAAGATAAGAAAATGTAATGTACAACATTTGATATTCGATATACAAATCTATTAACACAAAAGTTACATATACAAATCAAGAATATATTATGGATTCACTCATTCACACATAATGTTTGTAGGGAAAAAAAAACATGTGACGCTTTTATTATATATATAAAAATAAGGTATGAAATTTTGTACGCAAGAACGAATATTAAAGGCAATATACTAGTTAATGATTGAAAGTAACATTAAACAAGTGCTAAATAAATTTAGTTTGCTTGCACGTGATCTTTACTTTCTGGTTTGTTGGTTGAACATCATCATAAAAAAAATGTGGTATACTAAACAACTAAAATTTGGTTGCTCTTTTGACAAGCCAACCAATGTTTTTAGCACCTATCAACTTGAATTGTTATGAATAATAAAAGTACTGGAAGAACTATTTGATATAAAGTTCAATAATAAATATTAGAAACTGAAAAATGTCTTTATAAAAAGTGCATCACCTAGAAAAGGATCTAAACCGTTAAAATCAATAAATTATTAACCAGCAAAACTGTTGAATAAGCTGTTGAACAACCACTACCAGTGTAGCAGCCAAAGGTTCACAGCAGTAGAAAGTGCAATCAGCCCTCCAGTGCTGATGCCCCAGAGATGATCTCTGTCAGTTCAGTAGTGATGGATGCTTGACGGGTTCTGTGCAAAAAGAGGGGAAAAGAAAAAAAAAAAAGAAAAAAAAAAAGAATAAATGTTGATCAATTTCCCTAGCAAGAGCAAGAAAGCATGCTCAAACACTCAGATACTATATCAATACAAAAGTTTGCCAAAGCTATTGGTCTTGAGTCGTGCTCGAGTTTGACTACAAGGACTTGGCTCGATTACGCCCCTAGTCCAAGTGGTTATGAAATGGATATCATAGTTTCATCATGTGGGCTAGTAGAGCAAGAAACCTATGTATCAACATGCATCTACTTGGTTTAAGGATAAGGTTTATATTCCATCTTTAAGTCCCAGCTACCAGGGTTAGGATACTCCCTACTATAGGACTACTCATAAATGGGTAAATTCTATTTGCCAGAGAGAGAGAGAGAAAGAGAGAACCTGTTGTAGGTAAGTGTGAGCCGATCAAGCATTTCACCAGCATTTCTGCTGGAACTGTCCATGGCAGACATTCTTGCTCCTTGCTCACTACAAGCATTCTCTAGTACAGAATTGAACATAATCTGGAAAAGAAACCATGTCATTGGCTAACAACTTCATGCTCTAAAGTTTGAACTAGTACTTTGTATAATGTATTCTATATTCAACTGGGAATATATCTTGGTAGCAACATTTTCCATTCACTCACAACCAGTCCAAATATAAGAGTAGGAGAACGTACACATGAAAATTGGAATTCAGAGAGATTCTGAAGGATTTCTGATTTTGACTCAGCACCTTCAATTTCATAAGAATCCAAATCCCCAAGCTTCCCTCCAGATTCAGATTCTTTCTCCACAACCTACAATATTAGACCACAAGTGATTAACATCTAGGACAGAAGCATTCATGATGCAGACTAATTTAGGGTGCTGGGAAGCATAGAATTTTTGTTATTGAAGAGTTGGTCTAATGCATTCACCTCTGGGGATAATACAGTAGCCATTGTTGGCACAAATGAGACAACAGAGTGAAACTTGTTGAAAACAATTCTCAGAGCATCAAATTCAACATTTTTCAAGATGTCATCCGCGAGCACAGACACCTGTAAAGGCATAAAAGAAATATAATAGGTGTAGGGAAAGACAAAATTAAATCTCACACAGTCTGAAGTTGCTTCCAAAATGGTTGAAGGCTTTCAATATTCTCTTTCTTCAGTTAACAAGTAGTATATTATTTTCCAAATAAGTTTTCACTATCTGTCAACTGGTGAAGGTTCAAAGTGACAATTTTCAGGCCACCCCTTTCTTCTGGTGAAACAAAGACCATGACTAGGTTTTGAAGCTGTTTTTATCAGTACATTATCAAAATTAGATCTAAGAGCAAGTCAAACGGTAAGCAGGAAGGTGTGGTTGTGTAGCAATAAATAGGAAAATGAACTGTGGATAGCAGACTTCTTTGATGAATTTCACATGTGACCGTTTTGTAAAAAGGAAAACCTGTGTATAGTTGAGTGGATTCTTCTGCAACTCAGTCATGATCAATTCAATGTCGTTCTTTGAATCTCGAACCAGCTGAGCCTTTGCCTTTTCTCCAAGAATAACATACTTGTTCTCCTTTTCAGGACCTTGAAATTGTATAATATTTTGGATAAACATAAACATAATTTGTATATTCAACAATGAAAAGCATAAGAGTAATTTTGCAGTTACCAGAATTCAACTTGTGAATATTCCTGCTTGTCTTGACAGCTGTAGAATTAATTCCACCACAAAGACCTTTGTCTGAAGAAATAGTCACAATGACATTCTTCTTCACATCGACACCTAATAGGATACCAGAAAAAAATCAAGGCAACGACAGAGGAAAACAGAAGTTGGCCAAACATTTAACAAATATGCACATATCCAATAGAACGCTTAAGCACCATAATAAGAGCTCAAAAGGCAAAATGAGAATCAGTATAACCCAACAAGATCATCATGCCTTGTCACTGCAGCAGCTTTACAGAAAGGTAAAAGAATGCAATGGACTATTTCTTCACAAACCCATTCTCAGGACCCTACGTTTCCTTGACACAAATTCATCTTCCCCAGGAGTTCTAGACAAATGCATCTAAAGGAAAAACAATACTTATTCAATTGATTCTTTAAATTTTTTTTTTTCCTATAACATAGACTAATCAATGAACATGACTACAAAATTTCCTTTCTATGGAATAGAATGAATTGGAGGGAATAGAATGAAAGGACATAAAACTCTATACCAATGTGACGAGAGAGTGCAGATAAAACCAATTTATAAATCCTGCCTTAAATAAGGGTTCAAATTGCAGAGATACTGAAGATTTAGACTTACTTGGAGTGTCACCAAGGAGAGCAGTGAACGGCTGCCAGAGACCACGTGAATTTTCAGCTCTAGTTTGAATTGCTCGGAGCTTGGAAGCTGCAACCATCTTCATGGCCTTAGTAATTTTTTGAATGTTTCTAACACTCTTCATGCGGTTTCTCACTGCACCAATCCATTCACCAATATAAATAGTTCTTCCAGAAAATGCATACAGAAATACTGTCAAACAATTAAGCATAACAGTTGACAAATGAAGCAAAAGAAAATTAAAGATCAAACAGACCAA